GAAAAAGAAGTATAAAAAATCTAAACAAGAAAATTTGGAAAATAAAGTTAAAGAACTTTGTGTACAATCTATATGAAACTCACATGTCTACTAAATTGGAATTTAATTCCTTCTATGTACTGGATACACAATATTCATTGAATCACACAGAGCACAGTTACTGGAAGCAAGTGAAGGAACCTGGTCTTTCAACTGAAACAGCAACAACTAATTACCATTTCTGTTACTGTAGTAGGGATGCACAGGACAAAGTATATAACTTCCACCTAATAATTTTTTTAGTTTTATTATAATACTGACTCAAATTTTACTGAGGAATAAATTAATGATTTTAAAAATAATATAGCTGATTTGAAGATTACACATGACAAAACTGCTTATCAATTTGCACCATTACTTCAACTGGTAATTGTCCAAACTAGCCACCCCATTTCCTTCAACAACCCTGGCATATAGACTACAAATGAAGTTACCATAGATAATAGGCAACAGGTATCCATCCTACACAATCTGGTTTTATCAAGTATGATGTATGGAGCCTGCAAAGTGGCTGTATTTCTAGGGAAACTGAATGTGCTCTCCCACAGATTATGCTTTTTTAAATGGTTTTTAATTGTTTTTATTGTTTTAATGATTTTTGCTGTTATGTTTTTATTTTGCTGTATTGTTTTTACCTTTCTACGCTGCTCAGAGTCACGTATGTGAGATGGGCAGTTATATAAATTTAATAAATAAATAAATAAAATTAGATCACTAACCAATATTTGGCATTGTCCCTTTGCTGTACTCCTTCTTTTGAACAGCACCCTTCCTGAGATTAGACTAACAACAATCCTATTAGGGATTAGGAAAGCCATTAAGACCTGGATGTTCCAGCAAACCTCTGGAGAATTATGCGTTTGGATCTTTTCTACTGTCAATATGGTGAGTTTGTCCCACTATTGCCCCATTTAGGTTTAACATCTGTAAGTATGCTAATATGACTTTGGGAAGCATGATGTTTTAAAAGTGTGGATGTGATTCTGAATTGCATACCCAAAATTTGAAATTTATCATTATGGGAAAAAGCATGGATTAATTGAGCATGGAGTATAGTCACCCCACGCCAACCTCCTGTACAATGGAAAGATAGTACCACTCTGAATTTACAATCTTGGATTGATAAGCATTTGCTCTCTACTTACAAACTGGCTCCTTATTAATGTAAAGACAGATCAATATTATTCAGTACCCTCACTGCTATATAAAAAATGTAATATGTAAAAAGAACATGATTAAAGGACTAATTAAAAGGCTTAAGTAGGTACAAACAATTGAAAAGACAATGAATCAGGTGACAAGCAAGACTCTCCAGAAAGGGTATTCTAAATCTATAGGAGAGGGCACCACTGAGAAAATGATCCTCAGGCAAAACCTGCCATACCACCTCATGGGGAAGGTCTTGGAGCAGCACCTCCAAGGTTGACTGTAACATTTGGGTGGAAATGTATGAGAACAGTGTTCCTGAACATACTGTGGTCCAAGGCTCAAACATTTATAAGTTACTACCAGCACTTCAAGAACTTGGACATGATACCTTGGCATTAAGAATCTCTCTTGTAGTGCTGATCTGCTGCCTTTCAGTTACATTCGCTCATTACAAGTTTTACTTGCTCTGATCTCCAGCAGCCTTTAGAACGTTTGTAGCTCATAACTGTGCCTTATTTTGTGTCTTTAGTTATCTATATTCCAATGCTGCAGCATGAAAAACAAGAAAAGATTTGTCCCAAGAGTGGATGACACAATAAGCAGTGTCATCTGAGTTTAACCTTTTTTAATTCTTATG